GTTGGGTAGTAGGCGTACAAATAGAGATTGTTCGACCCGTCAATGAATGCCCCGTATGTCACGTAGAGCTCGGTGGGGTCCTTCCCGAACCGTTGCTCGAGATCGGACCACTGCCCAGCTTGAAAGCTGCTGGCGTCATACGCCTCGGGGTTTGGGACCCAGCCGGTGCTCTCGCCGCTCGCCTTCTTTCCGAGCGGAAGGTTGATCTGAGGCCCGCCGGGCTTCCAGTGCGTCTCCATGATGTCAATCTCTCGGCCGTACTCAGAGTCTGTATCGTGTGGAGCCCCGTCAAGGTAGTAGTCGGGGCCGACCTTGAGCACTCGGCGCTCGGCGAGGTAAAACGTCTCGACGAAGTAGGCGCCCGTTTTGGCTGACGACCCAATCTTGATGTCGACCTGCCACGCGCCGCTGTAAGCAGTGCCAGATGCGTGCATCAGGCTGTTTGACACCCCGGGGGCAGTGCCTCGCCCAAAATGAGGGCGTTGTCCTTATTCATGCTCTCGCATAGCGCTACCGGCCAAGCACGCGAGCCCGAGCCGGCAACATATCCTATCTGAACCGCAGCCTCGCCGACCAACTCCCAATTGCTCGAACCGTAATCGAGGCCCCATGTGCTGTAGCCGTCTGCCGAGCCCGAGTACGCCCAGGTTTGTGGGATGTGCGCGATCTCCCTTTTTGGACACGTAATGACACAATCCAGGCGACCCTTTGCATTTTTGCCCTGTGAGGAATCCACAACGAAGTCGAAGTCGTTGCTGAAGTCGTAAAACTTGCCATCCGAGTGGAGGAAGCTAGGCTGCGCCCAAAGCCCGTAAGTCGTTCCATCCGTGTGAATGCTGAGTAGAACTTTGGCGTAGACTCCACCAGCGCTATCGATGAGGCTTATGTAAAGCTTGTCAAACGACACGTACTCATACGTTCTCCCATTGCCAATTGTCACTGGACTCAGCGTTGCACTTGGTAGTGGAGGCGCAACAGGGTTCGGTTTTGGAGAATCTTTTATCCACTGCCCTGCGCCGTTGGTGATCCGGAAGGAGTACTCGCAGAGATTTGTCCAACTCATTACAAATGCTTCTGTGTAGACTCCAGTATGGACATAATTCACGGAATCGTCCACCGGGATCTGCGCGAAGGTCGTGCCGCGCGAGTTTGGCAAAAGGGGTTCCTGCGTACGGACACTATGGTGTAAGCGGCAAGAAGGGTGTGGTTGGGCGCGCCCTGCGGCGGCTGCGGCCGAGGCAGTGGCAGTGAGGAGCCGCTGTGGCGGCTGTTGCCGAGGCAGTGGTAGTGAGGGGCCGGACGACCGCTCCTGGCTATGCAGGTCTGGCTCCGGCTGAAGCTCGTCCTCAACGCCCCGGATTGTCGTGACCTCGTAGTTCATCGGACTGCCAGAGACGACGTTGTGCACCGCCAGAGCAAGGATCAGCGAGTGCGAAACCGCCGCGTGCTTCATGGCGATGTCAGCCTCGACTAGTTGCACCCTCCTGGAGTTTGGGGCGCCCGCTGTCGCTGTCCGAGCCGCATCTCATTTTTTTCTAGCTGCCTCGTGTGACAATTTTTGTCAGTGACCACATTACATGCACATGTAATCGGAGAGGTACTAGTAAAGTGCGTGCGTCTTGTCCAGCGGCAGCCCGTGTTCCCTTGTGGTGGTAGCGAGCAAGAAAATCGAAGGCGCCCACGGCGGAGGAGCCCGCCCACCCACCAACCATTCATTGGCATTGATTGCCCGCTGCGCCAACCAACCAAGCTCCAAGGGACCAAGCCAGGCCCTGCAGCAGGCAAAAGCCTGCCTGCGCCATGCTCGGAGGATGTTAGCGTGGCTAGAGGTGCGAGCGAGAGGGCGGCCCGAGCCCGAAAGGGCGGTAAGGGCCCGCCCTCGGTCTTGCTCTACATGGTAACGGATAAGAGGAGAAACACCACGAGATATGGACCGGGACACGCTGTGGTTCAGACACGGTTAGCTGCCGAGCCGCCGCGTGGCGCGTGCCGCCCCGCCAGGCCGCAACAGTTGACCTTGTGTCTGACTTCTCTCTGGGCTCTGGGCCAAACGAGAGATAGAGGCAGCGGCGGGGGAAGGAAGTGGGAACGGAGGCGTGCGGGGAGCGAGCAGGGGCTGGCAAGGGAGGAGGAGGGGTCGCCTGCCCGCGCACGAGCACATCTTGACATGAGCTAGTTCATTCTAGGTCATTCTTTCTCTAGTCCACGGGAGGAGGAGGGGCTCGCCTGTCCGCGCACGAGCATCTTTGCGCACCCAAAGTCAATCAGCTTGAGCCGCCGCCGCGCCGGGTCGACCAGGAAGTTGTCGGGCTGCGCGCGGGGGTGGGGCGGGGTGCTGGGGGGCTGGGACGGAGGGAGGGGAGGGGAGGGGAGGGGAGGGGAGGGGAGGGGAGGGGAGGGGAGGGGAAAGGGAGGAGAGAGGGGGAGGGAAAGGGGAAGGCAGGAGAGGGGCAAGGAGAGGCAGAGAGGGCGCTGTCACCTTGAGGTCGCGGTGACAGATCCGCAGGCCTAAGAGGGGAGGGGGGGGGGAGGGGGGGAGAGGGGGTTGAGGTGTAGAGAGTCCAAACTCGTGCCGCGCGTTCGAGAAGGCCGCGCAGGAGGGGCGCGGCTCACGGGTGGAGAGCGTGCGAGAGAGGTGCGGCGGAGATCGGGAGGCGGGCGGTGGAGGAGACGACTGCCCGCACGCGTTGGCGCATCTAGATCCGCTGGCCATGGACGTACTCTAGCGCCCGGAGGGCCTGGTACAGGTAGACGCTCACGTCGTCCGCCGGGAAGTGGACGCGCTGCTTCTGGAAGCTCATCGCGACCGACCGGATCGTGTCGGGCATCTGTCCGGAGCATGACGGGTGAACACCGCAGAGTCGGCGGGATCGCGAGCGAGAGGTGGCGGCGGGAGAGGGCCCGGCCGCGGCGCGAGGGCGGGGGCGAGCCGACGCGGGGCCGGGAGGAGAGGAGGAGCGCACATAGTCCATGACGAGGTGGAGGCATGTCTCGTCGGGCTTGCGGCCCGTCTTTTCGAAATGGTTGAGCAGCTTGATGACGCAGTCGTGGTCGAGCTGCCGCATCATCTCAAGCTCGCGGTTGTGGTAGCGCCGGTCCAGGATCACCTTCTTGATGGCCACCTGCATTCCCGACTCGAGGTCCTTTGCACGCCAGACGATGCCAAAGGCGCCGTTGCCGACGACCTTCTCCATGCGGTAGCGCTTCCCGCCGCCCTCCCAGACCTCACCCTCAGCGTGGCTCGACATGTCGTCCTCGATGCTGTCTCAGCGGGGCGCCGGGGCGGCAAGGGCTGCAACTCGCTTGCACAACTGCGCTTGCTGGGTTCCAACTTTTTCCGGGGTATGGGATGGTGCGCGCGGCCCAAAGGGTGGGGGGGCACGGTCCTGACCGCCCGAGGCCGGCAGCCGGGAGGCTGGGTCTGTCAGCAGGCGGGGCATGGTCTCGAGGTGGGTTGCGCGATCGTACCATACCATACCCCGCAAAAAGTCTGAACCCTGTCTCTCCGCAGCCCGCTTCACAGCTGCTCCTCAGGGAAGAGACCCAGGGAGGAGCAGCGCGCAAGACCCGAGCCCCCGCGAGGTATCCAGACAGGCGCTTTTCTGCCAGGCCGAGCAGTAGAAGAAAAACGCGGCGGAAGCACGCCTCCGCCTCCACCGCGTCACCGCCGCCCTCGCCGCCGCCATCAGCCCATCACCGCCGCCGCCGTCGCCATCCCCATCACCGCCGCCCTCGCCGCCGCCACCTCCCCCCCCTCCGCCCTCACCTCCGCCGCCCTCGCCGCCGCCACCTTCGCCCCCGCCACCCTCACCGCCGCCACCGTCTCCTCCTCCTCCGCCCGGAAAACCGCCATCGCCAGTCTCGTACAGGCCAACCGACGACGCGCTCGATCGAGATGGAGATCCTTTAGCATTTCTAAGTCTTGAAGCGCCAGGTCTGCGAGAGGCATCGCGCAGGTCTGAGAGCTGGGCTTGTGGCGCTCAGCTAGGTCATGCACAGCCGATGATCCCAAATCACTGTGAGAGTCGTGATTTCTTGTTGGTTTTCTAAAATCTCGCTCCCTCAGGGCGGAGCCGAGCGGAGCCGAGCGGAGCCGAGCGGAGCCGAGTGGAGCCGAGCGGAGCGAGTGGAGCCGAACAGAGCTCAGAGGTCAGAGCTGCCACCGATGAACACGCCAGAGAGGGAGATGAACACGCCAGAGAGGGAGGGCGAGACGATCGAGGGGTCCCGTACCACGCGGAATCGACCCTATCCAGTGCTCAAGTGCTCAAGCTGCCACCGCACCATCTGGCGCTTAAGACTTAGAAACGCAAGGGATCTGAGCGGCGATTTCTCGCGTGCTTTGAGGAGGCGCTCGGCGATCGGCTGCCAGAGATGGGCACGGATGCTGCAGCCGGGCGAGAGAGAACGCTTCGTCGCGTTTCTTCTTCGGCGCAGCAGGGCTTTTGTACTACATGCCCTCTCATTGTGGACTCGCGCGTGGCCTCGCGCTCGTGTTGGCGCTCTCCGTTGCGCCTTCGCCGGCCGAGGCGCTCTCGCGGCCGCTGCTCGTCGGCGCCCGGCTGCCGCCGCTCCGCGCCGCGCCGTGCCGCGCCGCGCCGCCTGCTGCGAACGCGGCATACGGCTACGACGACGACGTGCTGCCTGCGGTGGTGCCGGAACGCCCCCCCGAGCGGCAGAAGAGTGGCGGCGGGCTTACGCTTGCGGTGGGCGGGCTGCTCGCCACCCTCCTCGCCTCCGCCTCCGCACTGTCGATGACGGGCTTGGTCGCTACGGTCGCGGCGAGCGCGGCGGGCCTCTTCAGCTTCAAGGTGTCAAAAGAGCTGAACAGGCGCGGCTATGACCGCCGCGCGCTCTCCAAGGCGCGGGGAGCGGCGCGCCCGCCGGGCTGCCTCGCGCCCCTGCCTACCCGCCCCCACGCCCTGCCTGGACAGGCCGGGAACGGGGTCGTGTGGCGGTTTGCGGCTCTCGTCATCTACTCGCTCGCCTCCGTGGTCTCCTTCGGCGCCCCCCCCCCC